GCACAGAGTTTAACGGCGGCCATTTTTGTTGTTTACAATTCTTGTGCTTTGGGTTTGGGCTTATAATAAATATACCTTATTCTATCAGGGCTGTCAAATGACAATTTGAAGGTTAATTTTTGGGTTGTAATTTAACCTTAAAATTGACATTTGACAGTTTTATGACAGCCCTGATAGAATAAAGTTTATTTTTTAGAATAGAGGTGTAAAATGGTTGTTCTTAGCACTTTAAGGACTCCTTTAAGGCTTACTATGAGAAACACAACGTTTAAAACGATTATTAATCTGTATAAACAGAGCACAAACCCAAAGCACAAAAATTGTAAACAACAAAAATGGCCGCCGTTAAACTGTGCAGTGTTGCAGTGATTTTAAAGTATTTTTAGTACGAGATAGAACAGACCTTGTTGTGTGGATTGTGGATTTTTTCGTTAAAATTTAAGAATTTTGTATATTTTATTGTCTTTAATGAGCTAGTGCTTCATCTAGTTGACATTGATATTTGGGGGTGTTAAAATGGTCCCTGGGTCACAAATTTACGAATATATTAAAAAAAAGTTATATAAAAATGCTTAATCATTTTGAAAATATATTTTTTTGCTTGTTAATAATCCTTTTAAGGTTTTATTTACACTAGGATTTGTTTAAAAAAGAACATACATTTATTATTTATAAAAAAATGTTGAATGGGTACAAAACTAAGTAAAAGCAAAAACTATGTTCTATTTCTCAACTTTCTTACATACATAAGTATTTTTAATATATTTTCTGTACTCTCTAAAAATGAAACAATAGATTTTTACTGATAGACAGTGCATATTAACTATTTGCCGCAGTGATGCTCACTTTTTCCTGTAGCGATTTCTTTGGATTAATTTATTTAGTGGAAATTACACTGTACAAATTAGTGAAATAGGTTTAGTAGTTATGATAACTAAGTTCAAAAAAGTTAAAATTTCACTATTTTATGTCGAGAGTTCCGGAAAAGTAGTGATAATAAAAAACACTAATTTGGAGAAGTTAAAATTTCACTCATTTATATTGAAAAACACTTATTTTACAGTGATTAATAACTCACTGACGGAAATAGTGAAAATTTCACTGTTTCACTTTTAGAGAGTATTTAAAAAATGTCCATTAAAAAAATGATTTTAGTAAATTTTCTTTTAATGCGTATTAAAAACGTTTTTTCTCGATTTTTTATCTGGGTTGCCAATTTAACGAGTAATAAATTAATAAAAAGTTTTAGTAATATTAATAAAAAGTCAATATAAACGTTGTTTTGTTGAAGTACCAAAAATTTAGGCATGTCATAGCAAAACCGACAATCTCCACTTGGTCAAAAATTAGATTTTTGGCGGAGACTGTACTTCAACTAATTATCTATAAGTTGATAAAGTTTATGTGCTGCAAAAGGAGCTAAATCCTGCCTAAAATCCTATTTTAAAAATGACATTTAGTGCAAAGTCGACAATCTCCACTGATAGATTTGCAGCAAAGTATACAATCTCCAATTCCACCATTAGAAATTAGTAATTTGTGTCACCTGATATCCTAGCATTTGATGTTATAACGTATTATAGAGATTTAATTTTGTGTTTTTTTACTGGTACATACTGTTAAGTTCTATTGCAGTAAATGGCACTTAAAAATATATTTAAAATAGGTATATATACGTTTTATTGTTTAAGACGTAATGGTAAAGCAAGAAAAGGCTGATAATGTCAAAACATTGTTGTACTATAAAAACTTTTTTGCACGAGGCAACCTGGTCCCTTATGCGCAACCACACTGTTTAAAATTTCATGACCATTTTAACACCAAATTAACACATATGGTTCGTTGGTCCAGTGTAAATTGAAATACTAAAATGGTGTAAATTTAACTTTCACACAGTATTAAAATAAATTTTACCTGGTGTAAATTGAACTCCTTTTCAGTGTTAAATATTATGTGTTTTTGGTCAAATTAAATCATACTATTACCAGTGGTATTATCCAGAAAATTGAACTTTCAACTCGCTAGAGATAATGTTTTTAGTGCGTTCCACCAACTTAAAATACTTCAAATATTGACAGCTGTTTCCACCTATTTAAGGTCTCTTTAGTATAGAACAACTTGTAGTGTCACACCAAAGCAAAGGACTACCTGAGCTTATATACTCTTCATGTAAGTCAACAGAGGCGAGATTTAAGAACATCACGTGATCCACACCGCCTTTGCCGCGATCGGTACACACTATGCAACAAGGAATGCACGGCAAATTGTTTTAATCGTTTTAACAGAGTGCTTTAAGTTGAAGTAACTCTTATTTTACAAACAACAAATTTAGTAAACTGAACCTTACAGCGGGTTGGTTTCACTAAAGTTTTCTGGGTTAATTTAACCAATTTAAAAAAAAAATAACTATCTGGTTTAGTACCGTCAAACTAATCTTTGTTTATATTAACCTTCCCACAGTTGATTTAAATAAATACTTATGGGTCAACTAAATTAATATAGTTAAATGAACTATTCCTTTTTTTCTGTGTAGGTGCACTTATCAAATATTTTTAGATAAACACCGTTTTGGTGTTTGCTGTATAAAACATTTTCAACCATAATTTATGGTGTTATATTAACACCACTTGGTGTTGGATTTTGACACCATTTTAAGATTACTCTTCACACCACAGATATTTTAAACAGTGCAATAGATATATTGGAGACTTCATCATTATCTGACTCAATAGTATGTATACTTTTTTTACAAATTGTTGAACTTTACACGGTTATTTATAAACAATTGGACGGTCAATCGACTTCAAATTTTAAGGATAAATGTATTGTCATGTCCTTAATAAGTATACAAAAATTTAAAATTTTCTGATGGTACGACAACTACCGTAAACACGGGTGGCTTTAGCTCACTTTCAAACTTAATCTTAACACTTTTGTAGTTTTAACAATCATAAACATTAAATATTGTATACTGTTTGAACATTACGAATACGAAGTGGACTGTATAAAATGGAAATAAGGAGTCTATATATAAATAAATAAATAAATTTACTATAGTAAATTTAAAAGTAAACTACGTACACGTCATCAATCAGCTGATCGGGCACGGTTGTCAATGTGATGCTAAAATCCTTGCATCAAGGGAAAGTGGTAGTGCAACTACAGGGTGATAGATGGCGTTTACATGAATAATAATACCAAAATGTCAAAAGTCTGAGTTTTTATAACCTATATGATGCACCGCCAAAAGTATGTTTTTAGCCATTTTTAAAGACATTTTCTGATATAAAACCTAAAAATTTTGCCATCTAAAGTCAGTCTCTGGTATATATATTATTATTTCATGTATCCAACATATATTTTGTTAAATATTCTAATATATAATTAATAATAATCCTATTTACCTCTCTAACAGCTGTTAAAGGTAACAAAGGTCCATTATTATCCCGTTCTGCCTCAAAATAGCGTATTAAGGATGACACCAACTCTTGCCTCCGACTATTTAAATGCTTCGGCATTTTAAATATAGGAAACACAAAAAAACGATATATAACAAACACAAAAACGGCAATGAAAACTTAAACGATATAAAATAACACAAACAACAAACAAAATAAACGAAATAATACACGAATTAAACGAAATATTCAAAAACACAACTGACAGCTTCGAAATTCTAAAACGTCAAATTCTTTTATATGTGTCATTTAAATATGAAAAATTTGAATGTAAACATGACAACATCACAATTGTTGCCAACTTAATTTGGTTAAAATGCATTCAAATATTCAATTACAGACTTCGATTTAGTCATTTAGTGTTGGTACCAATGCGTAAAATTTTTGTTTTATTGATGACGTGTACGTAGTTTACTTTTAAATTTACTATATGTAATTACGTAAAATCCTATACGATTTCGGTGCCTCGATGTTGTTACGATGGTAGCTACCTCGTGTTGTTTGTGCTGATCTTCGGTACATAGACTAGGAAAGGGTTTATGGAAAATACCACTTTTTCGAAGGTTTAAACTAAATTATAAATTAAAACGAAATTCACGAACCGACGATACCTACGACAATATATTACTGTTCTTTCTCTACTTCTCTGTTCAAAAAAAAACTGTTTTTAATACCAACCCAATATAAACAAATAAAACCCAGTGTGACAAATATTTAATTAAATTCCCCAAATTAATAAACGAATCCTTAACATATACCAAAATTTGAGTCTTGAGTTGCTCTTTCATAATAACTATGTTATAATCTTACATAGGGCTGAGTTTCAAAAATAAAAATTAAAAACTGGGTGTGCAAAGATACCCCCTGGTTGCGGGTTACTTTGTCTCACGGTGTATTTTCCGTATAAAATTAACTGAATATTTTATTTTATTTTTATTAGACATATGTTAGCAGCGACATATAGCAATTGCAAGGGATTACCGATAAAAACAATAAAAAATCGACCTGTAGTTAACCAAGGATCATCATTCCAAAGAATTGCGCATAATATAGAAATTGAAACGCGTGTATTTTTAAGAGTTTTGCACTAATGCAATATATACAACTTTAAAGTGTAATAAATCCCATTAATTTTTTTAAAACACTGATTTTCCTGTAATATAAACTCAATAGAATCGCTCAATTGACAGACTTAACAAATTATAAATGTTAATTTTATCGAGCGCGAAATTTTTTTTCATAAAAGGGCTAAAGTCACCCGCGGGGTGCAAAGTCACCCGTGTTTACGGTACCTTAATAATGCTAAATATAAGTTTTGACACAATTTTCAAAAATGGCGAATGCGCCGGGATTAAAATTAAGAAAACTGTTGTAGGTAGGAAATGGAAAATGGTTATGTACCTGTGAATATCCTGTGCTATGATGAAGCAATAAAGTAAATATAAAAAATACAGATTTTTTAGTAAACAATTTAGACAAAAAATTAGAAAATCCTCAAAAACGAAATATTTAATCGGAACACTGTGCGCTAGCCGCTGGCGGTGCAACCGCGGCATTGCCGCGCGCGTATTCAGTAGTCGTTTAACCGTAAAGCCGGCGTGTCGTGCCTGCATAAAACCGTCACACCGTCATTCCGGTATTTTCCACAAAACCCGCCAAAAAAGTGCGTTATCATCTTTAGAGCGCGAGTGCTCTAAAATGCCGCTTTAACCCCGCGAAATTTGAGGTTATGTTGGCACCTAGTGAGTACTGTGCCAGTTTTATTGACGATACCGCCATGCAGACCAACTGGTACCCCCCCACAAGGGGTACCAACAACAATTTTGTCATGGATCCTAGGTTAGTTACCCACGAAAAGAATGCGTGATTCTAGTACTGTGTTGGGATGTGAATTATGTTTGAACTTCTGTCACGGACGTCACTGACTTTTTAGGTTTTTTGAATGCACATTTTTTAATAATATTTCCGTAAGAAATTAATGAAAACCAAGCTTAAACTGAAAAAACTATCAGAAGATTAATATATGAAATTATTATCTTCACTTAAGTAAATAAAAAACATGAAGGAAATCTAAAGCGCATTATAAGTTTATTAATATATTTCAATAGTGCATAGTGCATGTTTACCAAATCGCATGCATATTACACCCATTAAATAAAATAATTATACACATTTGAAAATAAAACTGAAAAACATCGCAGCCTATTTTTATAATCTACGACCTTCATTGCAATAGATTATTTTTTACAAAAACACATTATTATCGCTCAAAAAGTGATTTTACGTCGCGATAACTCCTTCCAGTAAACACCATGTATGTTGTAATATACAGGGCGCTTCCATTATTACTATTGAAGTAACTGACCTGCGCAATTCGGCTGTGCAATTAAAAATCTGTCAGATGATCTAACCTTACTTTCCAGTAAGTTTATTTTGACGATTGTATGTATAACTTAAAATTGACTAAAACGCCATTAAGTCATTTGTATTTAAAAGATCATTTATCGCCATGTACACGATAATGCGTTTTAAAGGTGAGAATAGAAAAAAAATAATTAATGCTTTTTACGTGTTTTTTCAAGGTCGTCTTAAACTTTAAAAATGCAAATGTAGGAAATTGTTAATAGTTTTATTTATTGTTAGGTCTATTTTTTGTGTTTTTAACATATAAATGCAATATTTAATTTGCATTTATATGGTACTGCATTACTAACTACCTAATAATAGTAAAACGTTTTATTTAAAAAAGTAACATTACAAAAAATAACAATTTTTTTTTCCTTTACGGGTGATGTTACCCCGTGATATTTCATAAAACTAAATGTGTTTTGATCTTTCATAATTAAGTAGATATTACAGCTCAGGTTCCAGATTTTTACAATGTTTTAAAAGTCTAAAACCTATCATCCGTGACTGTTACTCTTTCTAGGTTAACCTATATGTTTTCAAATATCTGAGGTAGTAAAAGCATACTAAAAATATCAGTTCACTAAGTAAATTAAACACATCCAAAGCAATCGAATCAAATATAAAATATTATTAAAAATTAAAAGAAATAATTTTTATAACCATTTATGTAAAATTGATTCTATCCTCCGTGAATCTGTTTTTGCTTTAAATTTTATGCAACTGATGATACAATAACTGATTTCAAATATACAAAGGGATGTTTAAAAAAAAACATACGAAATCCTAACCTCCGTGAAGCTATCTTCCGTGAAGCTCTAATATTCAAAATGTTTGATTTCTTAAAATTCTTGCATTAGTGCAGAACCACTTATGTTATAAACAAAAATATATTACAATTTAAAATATTATGAGCAATATTTATTGACAAATAAAATTGATTTTTATAAAAGTGACTGATGGCTCATTGGTTATGACAAGCTTGACAAACGACTTTTTTTAAATTTAAATCAACTAATTTGACTATTTCATTGCATTTCATGACCGAATGCTATTCTGGAGAGAAATAAAAGTTAGTTTTTTTTTAAGCAGTATATTTCTCTTAAATTCTCTTTTGAAGATCAAAGATAACCGATCTTATCAAAGCTGATTGAATTTCCAGAAGGACAAATTCCCTTTGATTTTATTATTCAAAGTTGTTTTTATTATTACTTGGTTAGTTTAATTAATTCAATAAAATGTTAATTAAAAAAAAATACCAAATAATAGTATTAAATAAAATACCTCCGACTACTTTTTTCAAAGAACATTTGGGTGAATATATTGAGATGATAGAATCAATTTTTGTAACACCCACATAAATGGTTATAAAAATTATTTCTTTTAATTTTTAATAATATTTTTTATTTCATTCGATTTCTTTGTATGTGTTTAATTTATTTAGTAAACTGATATTTTTAGTATGCTTTTACTACCTCAGATATTTGAAAACATATAGGTCAACCTAGAAAGAGTAACAGTCACGGAGGATAGGTTTTAGACTTTTAAAACATTGTAAAAAATAATTAATTGCTTAATATCTACTTAATTATGAAAGATGAAAACATCCTAGTAATTACTACTACGTAAAGGAAAACTCACTTTACTGTATTAAAAAAAGTAGTATTAATAGAAAAATGCATAAACTTCTGAAAGCACTTGTTTATTTATTTTAATTACATTTATGTATGTAAGTATACATATGTATGTTTGTTGTTTGGCCTTGCAATGGAAAACAACTTGTAGTTAAAACGTCCTGGTTAAAACTCTACTGGCACTACAAATAATAAAATGATTTTTCTATTTTGCAATGGTAGGCTGATAATTGCGTAGATCCTAAAATTAAACTAAGTCGCAATAAGACGTTTGTTATGTAGGAATACCAAACACTAATTTTAGTACACAGAAATATGTACCCATTTACTTCATTATCAATGTTTTATATTTTTCGATAATTTGTCTCCAGTTTAAAAGCCAATTTATTTTTTTCCAGATAGGTACTATCTTGATTTTTTTTACTTTTTACTAATGGTTCCTAAAAATTGTCTTATGCTACAAAATTATTGTCTTTCTAGAAGAGTATCTTCAAGTTTCTATATATCTATATCTGTATTGTTTTTCCTTGTTGGGTGCCAGTGATCTTAATAATGTACAGATAAGATGTAATTGTTTAGTACATTTCTCAACAATCTGATAAAAAGTGAACAATAATGATATTATAATCGTTTGCAAGGTTTTTATTTATAAAATTACAGTGTTGCCTCCTTAAAAGATAAACATTTATTTTTGTAAAAGTTTATATATTTTATACGTATTCCAACAATTCGATGCAACAAAATATTTACGAGGTGTGTTCAGAAAATAACGGGAATTGTTAAATTTCGCGGGTTCGGAGGGTCCGGTCGTCATAAAATTTTCTTTATTATGTTGGTATACATGCCTACGAAGTATCATAAAAACTTTAGCTGTTTTCATTGTTTACTTTGTCTGTGGCAGCCGCTAAGGTTAGACGATTTTCGTTCGTTAAAAGAAATGGATCAAAGAATTTGTATCCAATTTTGCTTAAAAAATTAAATAAATTCTGTGAAATGTTAACAAAGGCCTATAGTGAGTCTGCTATAAGTAAAACAAGAGTTTACAAGTGGTATAAGAGTTTCCAAGATGGCCGTGAAGATGTTGAAGATGACAAACGCCCCGAACGCACAAGCACATTAACAACCGATAAAAACATGGAAAAAGTGGAAGAAATGGTTATAAACAGAGAAGTCGCTGATGATGTTGGTATATCGATTGGCTCATCCCATGAAATTTTTTCGAATGTTTTGGGTATGAAACGCGTGGCAGCAAAATTTGTTCCAAAATTGTTAAATTTTGAACAAAATTTTTGGCCAAAAACAATACTGTAATGATGCCCCAGCCTCCATATTCGCCAGGCATGCCTCTGTCTGACTTTTTCCTATTCCCAAAAATAAAGAGAACCTTAAAGGGCCGTCGTTTTGCAAGCATAGATGACATTAAAAGCGCATCGCTGAAAGAACTAAAGGCTATCCCAAAGATCGAGTTTTAGAAGTGTTTCGAGTATTGGAAGAAGAGCTGGCACATGTGCATAATATCCAATGGGGACTATTTTGAAGGCGACCACATTAATGTAGACGAATAAATAAATATTTGTTTCAAAAAACGAAAATTCCCGATATTTTCTGAACACACCTCGTATGATAACAAATTTTATTTATTAATTAAAAAAACTGAAAAGGGCATTCCATGAGCCTCCTGACTTTTTGCCCTGACAGTCACATTAAAAAAAAATTTAGTTTTTTCAATTAAAAAATTTGTTAACCTTTTAGTCCTTTAATGCAATATAAAAATTATTGTAATCTCGAATATCTCTGAAACGGTGTATTTTATCGAAGTTTGAGAGGTACACCTTTTTAATAGTAGCCGAACTGAGTAATCGAAAAATTGCATCAAATGGTTAAAAAAACCTCAAAGTTTGTATTGGGACAATAAGCTTAAGCAACCCCTGTTTCTACGACACTGTGTTCACTCGAACAATTGTAATTATGTGTGAATATGCGTGAATAGAAGTTATACAAAAAAAAAACTGATATGATAACACTTTATCACCCTGTATCTCTTAAACATAAGTAATTAGGAAAAATGATTATTTAGATTTTCGTCTTATTTTGACTTAATCTGCTCCTAAATTTATGCCACTAAGTTTAGGGACACCTTGTATAAAAAAACGAGTATGCTATTTTAATCTAAACACTCTGTATTTTAGAGAGCGTTTAAGGACAAATTAAACAAAATAAAAACAATAAACAATAAGGCTTTTAATTAAAACTAAAATAGTTCAGCAAAATCGCGTTTTAGAAGTCATTCACCGTTTATTTTAAGTCGACAAAATAGCTGCTCGTATCAGTTTTCCAAAGAATGAACAGAACAGACTTGTGTGGGTCATTGTTGTTGTATTAAGGGTGAACAACACTTTTTACTGATAAAATTTTGTTTATCTCGGTACTAGAGACAGGCTGAGTTAAATTACTGTTATACTTAGAACGCAATCTTCAAGTATTAATTGTTCAAATTATGAATATGTTTTGTTGTTGTGGAAAATATAATACACAGGTAATAAAAACCAAGGTTTTAATTTGTAGATTTTACTCTCTTAAAATTACTAATTTGTCATGGCGAAAAAGCAGTCACTAATTATTAGTCAAATTCTACAGAACGAAATAGTCAAATGTACCATCTAAGGTACTTCTTTTATTAAATTTTCAGTGTCTTATTGTGACAAAAACCCACGATTTGTCAAAGTAATGAGATTATTTTTATTCACAGAATAAACTTGTTTTACTGTTATTAAAATTCTCATTTACTATAATGAAGCA